AATTATGCCAATCGGAGCAATGTGGTGCAACGCGCCGACCGAAGCAGCGTAGCCGAGCGCCGCACAGTAACCTGATCGTCATTTCTTTGTTTCCCTTCTTTCAGTGGAAATCGAAACTGTTTTTTGTATTTCCGCCAGGTCCTTGGTGTCTAACAATACTATTTTCACATCTCGCATGACCATAAATCCCTTAGTTTTCTCGCATTTTCTGCGCGCACATTTTTTATTGGTGATAAATAGATATTTTATGCGGGAGATCGCTTAGTAAGAGAAAGCTTATATTTTATTAAAATGGACAATTATTACTAGACAGATGTTTGGAAAATGATCATTATATCGTATGTTTATGGAAGGTTGTAGGTATATGAGCACGAATCACGTAAAATGAAAAATTCGACGAAGATTTATTTGACATTTTTTTCTCGTAAATACCTTTTTAATTATTTAGTATCATTTGTATTTTAAAATGTTTACATTTCCTTCTCTTGGGTAAAAGTAAACCTTTAATTCATTTTGTTTTTAGTTTTAGCTTTCTCAATTGTTTCCTACCGTCATGAACTTCCTTTTTATTGTGTAGATTCGTCATGTCAATTGAGTTTGCGTGACACATTGTACATCGTAGGTGCTCAAAACATAGCGTTTCTCGCACATCTTCGCCCAAATAAAAAAGTCTAGCGAGAAGTTTTGGGTGTGCGTAGGTCTCAGATTCCGAACGGAACCCAAACACGCGCGTGTCACGGGGCAAGTCTATAACCCTGTCTTCCGACATTGATATTCTACCGCATCAGGTGTTCTTCCTGGAAGATAATGTAAAGAAGGACCTGTTAATTCAAAAATTAAATATTATGTAACTTTTAAATCATTAAAAGAAATCATTCTTTTAATGATTTAAAAGTTACTCATTAAAAGTAGTTTTAATGATTGAAAAGAGTATCATTAAAAGAAATTGAGTCACCAGCCGGGATACCATATCTTTGCTCACAGTTTATTGCTTTTTGATACCTGGATAATGCCGCCCTCGGATTTCCCCGAGAATGAAGCTGAGGCACAGGACAGTCAGGCTAATAATTTTTACAAAGTGCCAATTTTCATTTCCACTACTGAAAATTCGGTGTACTGTATATTTACAATTTCCCTGAAAGTGTATCTCTGAAAAGGTGTTCATTAAAAAAGTTGCTATTAATTCAGTGATTACCACCTAAAACAGCAATGACAATACTACTGTGACAAAAACATTTTTCCCTGTTACTTTATTGCATATACTCTGGAATGTTGCTAGAGTACGCAGTGCGTCAATACATTTCTCTCATATTTATTTTGAAAGTTTGATGTGCGTTGTTATCACGCGGCTACTGCACTTTCATCAGTGCGAACCGCAACAGGCCAAAGAAGCATCGCAGGTTCACCACATCCCAATGCACGTCACTTGCTTCCTTTTGCCAAGTAAACATTTCATCGTATCAGTCACGTTGCGACTGGGCGAAGAAGAGTGGCGCAAAAAGATGAAAGAAGTTCCTTCGGATGAAGGAAGTGATGCTCGTACAGATAGTGATTACAGCCCTAGCGGAAGTGAGGTTTCGGATGAATCTTTTCAAGTTCCAACAAAACAGTAACAAAAGTATTTTGTGCTTGTTATGCAGATTTTGAAAGATGTACACGACCTGTACACATCTGATTCACAATCGAAATAACAGTGGTATTGATCTTCTTTAGTAGCTGAACATGAAATTGAAGAAAACTTCCCAGCGTGCCATTTTCTAAAAACCAGTTACAGATGACTTCCGTCATTGATATATTAGAATATTTTTAAGTACGTAAGAGTATATTTAAGTATGTAGGTTCAACAATTCTCAATGCGGAATACAAAATGATATTCGTGAAAATGTGCACGTTAAAGATGCGATATGAAATTTACAAAATTATGATAAATGGGTTGATTAAATTAATTATCGAAGTGTCTAATCTTTAAGCAAGGCAGTGCATAGTTATAAATACATTTAAAAAGTTCAGCAGACTTCATGACGCGATACTCCAATGAAATTGATGTTGGGTATTTTGTTTTGGATTGGTCTATTTAAATTCTTTCTAGACAGAAATATTAGTGTAGATATGATATTACACTAATTTTATTAGCACAAAAATATCTCGGAACAGATTTCACTTGTAGAAAATTATGCATTTCAATAACATTGAAGTGGTTTCCGAAGATCGTTTGCAGAAGATGTGACCTTTGTTGAATGAAGTAATACTAAATTTTCAGAATGTTATTATTCCTGAAAAAACGAACAAAATAAAGAAGCAAATGGGCAAAAAAAAGATTCAGACAATTTATCACAAACGAAAGAGACACAAGATTGGAATTTTAGTTTTTAATGCCCTAGACGCTTCGTTTAGGAGTTATTTAACGAAATAGATTTTTTTAAAAGCCTGCCTAGTGTTTTGCGGGTTGCATTTGACGTGGAGATTTAGTTTTGGCAGAAGTTTCCTTTTTTAGCCTGTTTATAAAAGTACAATATTGAAGAGAGCGAGTTTTTCTTCAAATTTCTTTTTCTCCACAATAAGTGTTTTAATGCTCTTTACCTTTATTGATGGCGTAAATTCGCCTAAGCAGCCTCGTTAGCTTGACGGGCCGAGGCGCAGTCCTCTAAGGAGCGAGTCGAAGGAGCAGGGGTCGAGGCAGGCGAACGTGGGTGGCTCGCTCTGACACGGTGCTGCACCGCCATCCTCCAAACTGTCCGAGGGGACTCGTCTGAGCCCTTCATGTACCAAGGTTTATTTTTTACTTAGAGCAGTTGAACTTCGAATTTATCCCAAGTGACGTTTCTAAATAGCAACTTTACATTTCTACGTACGTTCAATGTTTTGTTTATTCACTCAGAATAAGTAATACAATTGTATTGTAAAGTTCCTTATATTTTTATCCTAAACGTTAGTTAACGCATTTCCTTTCTTTGCTATATATTTAAATGTTATTTGTTTCCCCACTTTATTTTATGTTTATTTCTCATATATTATAGGTTGTAGGATTGTAGCCTCTTACTTTATTAGGCTTATTAGCTAGCTTCAATTGTGAATATTGTGAGAAGAAGAATAGTTCACTTTCAATGAAAACTTAATTGTTTCTTTCCAATATTAAAGTTGATTATACAAAAGATTGAAAGAAACAACTAAGTTTATATATATATATATATATAAAATACGTAGATATTCTGTTCATCGCACTCCCGCCGTCCATATCGGTGAAGGGATTAAATCCATTTATTCCGTAAGAGCATAGGCGTCCGCGTCCGTATATAGCATCTTCTTGGCTGTCCAGGAAACGCCGCGTACTAGGCACAGGTGCTACCGTTTTGGTCACCATTCTGCGACTTGTCTCAGGGAGAAAAATATAAAAATGGAAAACAGAATATTTCGCCCTGAGGAAGGTCCCAGAATGTCGACCGAAACGTTGGCACCTGTGCCTGGGAGGCGGCGTCTCCCGGACAGCCAAGTATTTCCTAATTTTCAAAACAACCTTCGTATTTGCACCATTAGCGGCCGTTAAGGTAGGGGAGGAAAATAGGGGCACTGCCTGAGATGAGCGTATGAGCCGACTCTCGTCCACCCCTGTTGCCACTTGCAGCGTAAAGGAAGAAGGCTTATATAAAAAGCAATTATAATGTCCGTCTGTTAACAACGCCAGCGCCTAAATTGTACAACCGTTTTTTCCAAAATTTATACCCGCTCGATCTGGCCGAAGTCAAGGCTCTGTGAAATTGAAACGGATATTTTGATATCGGGGTGTACTTAAAATGAACCTTTCACAATATCCTCAAATATTTTGATTAAATTCGTACTATTCAATTTTTTAATCAATTTCGAACTATAATTCTGAGAGAATTCGCAAACTATTTATCAATATTCCACAAACAGGGCAATTCGTGAAATACTGACACTAGCGTCATATCCTTCTTAGCTTGTCTTTACATAATTGTCTACCCTGCAGCTTTTGAAATCATACGTAACAGATACACAACTTCCGCACAACATACGTATCAAAGAAGAATTGCAGCCAAGACAGTTTGGAAACAACTTTTCAACGACGGTATATAACTAGTTCAGATCTCAGGGAAGAACAGTCAGTTGTAAGTAGGAGCGAAAACGTAACACCGAAAACCTCAAGTCATCATGCCGCTGACGGTAAGTTCACTTGGTAATTGTCAATCTTTAATCAACAATTACAAAATCGGGATTACCAATTGTGAAAAAAGAGCTTAGTTATTTCATTCGACCATCTTTTGTCGAATAAAGTTCTTCTCGAATTTACTTCCGTGTAGGATGTACGTGAAACACTCCTAACAGTTCCTCGAGAAATCGTTACTCAGTGTTGGTGAAACCGGCGCTAACTTAAATGTTTGTAAATAATGAATATTCAAATTAATAATTATCTGCGATTGTTTGACGTGGCACAAACAATACATAACATTTCGTGTTATTCTCTTAACTGTTTTAAAATCGCGTGTGATATCTACTGTATATAATGTATTATTTTCACTTTCAATGTAAATACATTATGCCCATGCCATAATTTGTCCCTGGCAACTTGCCGTATACAAACACCCGAAGTGTTTGTTAGAAGCTTTGCTTTATACCTGTGAAGTAGAAACCACATAATTAAATCATCCATTTTGTTATAGGAAAGAGAAGAAGTACAAATTCGGAATTTGCTAGTGAAGCAGAAATTTGTGGACAAAGAATTTCCTCCTTCAGAAGAGTCCATTGGTGGCGGTATCGTCAGAAAATGGAAGCGGCCTCACGTAAGTAAATTTTCTAAACGGTCCATGGCCGAAAATTTGTTTTCTTGTAAAAAAGTGGAAACATGTACTGTACTTTGTACAAGTATGTCTACATCGTTAAGCCGTGAAGATGAAATAAATATAATACTATAATAATCATATAATAGTCATCTTATAATACTATAATAAATACAATAATATAATAATCACAAATTTTCTTGTCAGGAACTTGTAAACAAACTGAAGCCGCAGCTGTTCGTGAATGGCGCCAGTGATAAGGACGTCACGCAAGGCTCACTGGGTGATTGCTGGTTTTTGTCCGTCGCTGCAGTTGTTGCTCGCTATCCACATCTGATTCAACAGGTGAGCAAACGTTTATTCCTGTCTTTGTGACCGAGAAAAACTATATCTGTACAATGGTAAAACCATAGTTATTTTAAACTTCGACATTAAATTACATTTCTTTTTCGATGTTCATCTTTATTTCAAACGCATAAAAGCTATTTCAGATTCATTTTCATTCATATATTTTCTAATAAAATGTATTACATTTAATACATAATATACTGGCATTATCCAAGTATTACAATTTCCCCCTTTTTGCGTCTTTGAACTACCATTGTAATTGAATAAAGTAATGTGCATTTCATTTAGGTCATCCCAGGAGATCAATCGCTCAGTGGAAGTGATTATACGGGTTTGATTGCGGTCCGTTTTTGGAATTTAGGCAAGTGGACTACTGTGTATATCGACGATAATTTGCCCGTTGATGATGATGATAACCTTGTCTTTGGACAATGCACAAGGAAGGGTGAATTTTGGCTGCCTTTGCTGGAGAAAGCATTTGCCAAGTAAGTTTGAATATTAAATTTAACATTAGAAGAAAAATAGAAGTCAAGTAATGTTGGAGATTTTTTTAGGGTTGGTAAAGTGGTATGGTGGTTGGTATGTTGTAAGAGTTAAAGATAATCTGTATGATTAGATACACGTTAATGATGTGATTAAAGTTGGATTTTAATATCGTGTTGCATTACTACTGACAAACATTTTTCAAATGATGCAATGAAATATTGATAAGCTAAAATTCAAGGGGAAAAGAAAACTTTACAGATAACGAATATTTCGACATGAGGTTCCAAATACTCCAAAGGGAAAATTGAAAAGTTTTTTATAAATTGCGCTAAGGTTTTTTTCTTTGTGGTATTCTTCATTCATAAACCTTCTACCAACACAGGAAGAAGCAGTTGTTAAGTTGTTTCCAAAAATTCGTAAATGTTAGACTTTGCCCTGGTTTGAATTTGTAAATTCTATTTCAATGATAATAAATTTTCTGAATATAATCGCGTGTCATAATCACTTTTCTAAGCTGGCAAATTTCTGAGAAATAATGATTTGAATTTATGTCTACAACGACATTAACGAATTATTTAACCGGGGATTTTAAACTCGGGTAACTCATGTTTTCTTGTTTTGACATTCCGTGTGTTTTATGACTTTCAACACACCATACACGCAAATGAATAAAACACACGTTTTCGCAGGTTTCATGGCAGTTACAGAAACATAAGCGGTGGCTTGCCCTCTGAGGCTTTGTTGTCACTCACGGGACACCTCGTTCAGCACTTCGAACTCGCCACAATGGACCCACTTGCGTTGTTTAGATCGCTGTCTATTGCGACTCACCATGATTCGTTGGTTGCTGCTGGTGTGTTTCATTTGGTAAGTGTTGAAACTCGTGAACAATTTTTATAAACTTATAAAAGTATTAGTTCGTCGAAAACGTTTTGTTTCGACAAATCCATTCCAGCTATATTTGCATATAGAACAATTATTATTATTATTATTATTATTATTATTATTATTAGCAGAGAGAGGAGTTGGGGAAGAAGCTGTAGTGAGCTTGTGGTTGTTTCAGGATTGGGAAAGTTCTATGAAAGAAGGAATTGCCAACAGACACGCCTACTCCGTGACAGGAACCTACTCTGTGCGCGTGGGAGACACGTTCGTGAAGCTGGTGCGTTTGCGCAACCCCTGGGGACAAGGGGAGTGGGAAGGAGCACTCGCTGACAAGTAAGATGGGCCTGCACTTGCCCTTCATACATTGCATTTCTTATTTTCATATACAAATAGATTTTCTTCCATAGTAGCTTCTATACATTCTCCATTTATTACTAACTGCTCTATTACCTTGTATTATATATATTCTATTATATTACTGTAATGTTGTATTGCTACTTGTAACATCCTAATAATTCGGGCATCTCTTTAAAAATTGTCTTCAGCAAAAGAACTCGGCAGATTCGAATTTGCAACTTTCGAGAAATAAGATGTTTCAATGAAAATCGGACGTACGTCGTATTTCTAAGCTAACTTTGCTCCATTTGAAGAAAGAAAAAAAGCGTCCTCTAGAAACCCTGAAATCAAAACTCGACTCCTGACTTCCTAAGCAAAAACAATTACGCGAACTTACTTAAAATGTGTTTCTACTCAGAAAGAGAATGAACCATTATTAACACTCGAATCTTTTATATGGTTCAGAGAAATAAACTGAATAATAGACTATGTGAAACCTGACTATCCACAAATTAATGACATGAAAATCCATCCCTACTGTAAAATTTAACATGGATATGGTAAGGAAAAAAGTTCAAATGCCTCATTTTTGAAAATTCAAAAGTTTTAATGAAAAAGGCACGTATGCAATAGAATTGAGTGTCTTGTGCTCGATCCTTTCAAAGAGCTTAATGATAAAAATGTTAGCTATATTTACGATAAGATTGTTTAGGTAATCTTGTTACCTTCTGACAAACAATATTTTAAAAAACGTATATATTGAAAATATTGTACGTGGCATCATCAACCGACTTAACTACAAATAATTGTTTACTTTAAAAAGCCTTATTGACAATATTGTAGTTGTGGAAGGTGGTCGAAAAACTTTTACTATTGAAATTTTCTATAGTTTAGAAGTTTTAATGAAAATGTTGATCCGCTTTTTTAAATCACGTCGCTCACTGAAGCTAAAAATTAAATAAACAATGTTGAACTGTTTTGAAGATAATTATGAAAAGATCGTAGAAGTGTTACTATAAAGTAACTACAATAACTGAATGATCCGTTTCAAATTTGAGAGACGATCGAGGAATAACCAATTTTGATAAAAGAAAAACCAATTTTGATATCGGTTTTGAAGCTGGTTTTTCCTGCAGACTGGCAAACAGAGTGACATCTTTGAAAAAAAAACAATTCTCGAGAATCTGAGACCCAAAAAGTGTATTTATTTCAAAATCTTCTTATACATTTTTATGGCATTGCAATAATCTCTCTGAACCACATAGTATATGAGAAATGAAAAAAGTACTGCCTATTCTATTACAGAGACCCAAGATGGACTGGAGTAGACAAAGAAGTTCTTAAGAAACTGGATTTTGTGAAACACGATGACGGCCAGTTTTTCATGAAATTATCCCATTTCAAGAGATATTTCGTAATGATATGTGTGGCTTCTCCTGTTCCTGACTTTGGAGACTCTTTCAAGACAACTCCCTTAAACGTAATATATAATTTTGCCATAAGAATAGAATTTAAAATAAATATAGAAAATATGTCATGTTTTAAAGAACTTAAAATGTCTACAAAAAACCATTAATATACGTTTTGCAAGATTTCAACTAAAACATTTGACCCACAGTTTGATTCATCATGAAGTGTTATTATCTCTTAGTGTACTTTTGAAATTTCAAATTAGTAGATTATTAGAATGACACACTTTCTCGTTCGAGGTAGTTTCCTAATTTCCTAAAGAGATCCCAATTCTAAGCTCTAAAATATTTTCGGTTTTACCTCACATCCTTGATGCCACCCTTCGGCCCCTAAAAGATATTTTTCATGTGTTTTCAATTTTTCGGTTCCTTAATAGTTGAATTCAAACTGGACTTTAATAAAATATATAGAATAACTGGTCCTAGAGGTATATTTTCTTTAAAACAATTTTATGCGGTTTTTTGATAATATAGCGTTTGGCCGTTTCCGAAAATTTGTAATTTTGAGTTTTTTTAAGGAATATTTTGAGATTTCGAGGAACGTAATTAAAAATTATTCGAAGCACATGTACTCAATACACTTAATAATTTATGAAAATTACGATAATGTACGCGTAAATGGTAATGACGTGAGGACATTACAAAAAATCATTTGTGTATTTTTTGTGAAGTCAAAAGAATACATCATAATGGTGTTTATGTCATATTCTTTAGTTCATCTACGGCTAACTGTACAGAGAATTTCAAGAAAAAAAACTAGCTGTACTACAATATCAGTCGCAATATTTCCTGGTATCAGTTTACGAGAAACTAGAAATTGAGCCATTGTTGACAATATTTTGATCTTTATATTGCCCTTATTTCATTCAAAATAATGGGAACACTATTGATTTTTTTAAATGTGTACATGACAATAATATAGAACTAGTAGAGAAAAAAGTTAATTTGAACAAGGCATCTCTTTCTTGAATAATGTACGAGGATGTTCAAAAGAAGGTCATATATTCGCAATTTTTTAAAAATTCAGGAGTAACAGCTGAAATTAGTCCTCATGTCTTCTTTATAAGTGTATTTCATTCTATTTCTACATGTAATTTAGAGAAAAATTGGAGCCATTTTTCAGAAAAGTTTGAATATTATTCATCTGAATAATATGCTCCCAAATTTTTAAAGCATTCTTTCATTTATCGTAAAGCGGTCCAGGTCAATCGGCAAATACTCATTTTGAAAAAAAAACGAACTGTAGTTTAGACTCTAATGATTTATGCAGACAAACGATAGGACAAACAGACGTACGATCATTTTGGAAAAAGATTTTTCGTAATTAGGGACCCACAAAACGTCAATGTGACTACGGTATGAATTAGACGAGGTAAGTTATTACATATAGGAGCAGGAAATGTCCTTTTTTAGAGCGTCAGGAAGTCCTAAAACGAGTTTTTGTGACGAAAACACCCAACTTTTTGCCGCAGTAGTAATTTTCTCTAAATTTCTTATATTACTTCGTAAATACGTACGTTTATGAGAAAGTAAAACAGGATATCTCATATAAATATTTGATTAGTACGAAGTCCTGTTTAAGTACTATGTGTGTAAATGACTATTAATTTAAAAATTAATTTACACAGACGTACGTTCTCTGCAACTCATGGAAATCCGGACGTAGTGCTGGAGGAAGCAATTTAGAAGACGAAGAATTCCTCAAAAATCCTCAGTACACTCTCATTGTGCCAAAACCAGGTAATTAAACGGAAAATATGAAGTCTCACGTAGATTTCATTCGAGTACGGTACTTCTCTTCCTTCTCGGAAGTTTTAGGTTTCTCTCCTTTATTCCTTCCTTTCTTCCTTCAATATTCTTTTTCAGGCAAGTCACTTTAATCAGTTTCTTCTTCTTAATGGTCCAACTTCAACGCCTATGCGAAAGTGAAAGGATAGTTCGCTCCTACTTGTGATGTGATCAATCGAGGCTATTCAAGGAACAGAACAGAGCCAAGTTAATTCGAATTTGCATACGCATCGCATAACTGTTTTTCTAGGTAATAAGTATTATTCTCATACTCGCAAATCATTGTTGTTAAATGCACAATTTTAGAAACCTGGGACTTGAATTGTAAGCAAACGAGATAATAGTTGCCTGAATTCTTGTAAATTATTCTTGTAAGTTAACTTGTAATTTTTACATGTTTGCATTCGCTCGAGATGGCAGGTTTCCCGAAGAGCTCACCGCGGACAATGTAGAGGAGTTTGAGGCCCCTCAGCGCATCCGTGGCTCCCACCCAGAGACCTGCGTCGTTGCTGGTCTCACTGTGCGCGGGCAGATACGCCGTGTGCCGACGTTCAGTGAGGTGGACGTCAGCCGCCGAATTCCTCCTGCGCGTCTACAGCCCGAAGCCCATTCATTTGAGGAAGAGAAGCCTTCTTAACATGGCGTCTGCGAAGGACACTTCTTCACATGATCTACATTGAAAATTACGTAAACAGAAAGTTTGTGATATGATTGAAACTCTCATCAGTTGAGTTTGAATGTCTAATGCATTTGTATTTGTTGTTTATTATTCGCGAGTTTCATTCCTTACTCCGACGATGAACATCAACATGTAATTAATCTTGAATATTTATATGAACAGTTTGCTAATTTTAGCGTATGTATTATTTTTAAGGTTGTTTATTTCATTTTACAATTTGGATATTAGAAATGGGAAAAAGAAACAGAATAATAATTACAATGTGGAAATATTAATTACTTAAAAATAACATTGGATATTTTCTCCAAAAAAAACTTGTTTGTTGTTAATATTATGTTTCAATGGGGCTTTTCTTATCACTAATTAATGGTTTATTTACGCTTAAAATTGTTTTTAATGAAGAAGAAAATTGTTTGTGTTGAAAAACGTGCTTTTAAGTAGTAAGCCTAGGTGTCGAACCGCATATGAACCTCACCTTATACGCCAAGAACGTTCCGCATTCAATTACACTGCTGGACTGGCTTCTTTGCTAAGCTTTTTTATTAAATCATTTTTGTGTTCTGCATGTACAGTTGAACTGCTTTGAAACAATTATTATCATAGACATTTCGCTACATTATATCTCAAACCGTCGCGCCTAATACTTTCTTAGGATTTTTTCCAAAATCAATATTCCTAATCTATATAGTCGAATCGAGGTCTGCAAATTCAAAACTAAGTCTTTTGAATATTGGTGTTATTGCATCTATGAGCCATTAGGAATTCCAATTTTCTTAAAATAAGATCTTTATTGCCTGACTATATTGTGGTTTCCGCCGGACATCTGCTAAGATCATTATATAGTGTAGCGCATACATTCCTCGGGGGGTGAGGGGGGCGCTTGGCGATGATATTCCTTCGTTGATGTTTAGACCCGCGGTATACCTAAGTTGGCTTGCGGGGTTTCCTCCCAGGTTATCTCCCACCACGGCTGTGGTACTACCCAACGGGATAAGCTCACGCACACGCAATGCGTGTTAGTATATGTTAGATGTGTGCCTAAGTAAGGGGTTGGGCAAGGACGGGAAGAAAAAATAGCGTGCGGTAACGTGATTTTTGTATAGTTACGGTTCCGGTTTCCTGGGTCATCGGAAGAAACAAATGGAAAATACCGATCACAGTAACCGGCCTCTAGAACTCTCCTCCAGACAGCTGCTGACCACATCCAGCTATGTACTCGTAGTTTAATTGTTGAAATCCTGCCACCGTCGGTGACTTCGAACTAGAGGACTTCCCGTTCAGAGAAACTGCACTCACAGTTTATGACCTGAGCCACCTGACCGGTCGGCTTCGCAGAGAAAATTGCAAAAATTCCTACATATTTCTCACTTCGTGGTTAAATCTCTGATTTTTGTAGAATTTGTAGGGACTATTTTGCTCGCGCAAAGTTTCTGTGAAATCCAGCCTTATAAAACGAAAATATAATGGAAACAAGAAAAATAAAGAGACACAACGATTTGTAGAATATAAATCATTAATCGAAAATATGCACCAATAATTCGTTTTGACAATATGTACCAAAATATAACGTCAATTTGGGAACAAAATTAAAATAGGAAATTTGGGTAAGAAGCAATAGATTGAACCAGATAATTTCTTAGATACTATTTCGAAATGTATATTTTATATTAAAATGGAAATTGTGCGTCACTGTTGAATAATATGTCGGTTAGAAATCACCGAGCATCAGCGGTTTCATCCAATCACATGTACATGGTCTGCTTTGACCTGCTTTTAACTTCTCTATATTTAGTTACTTCATATTTAGCTGACTTCTTAGGTGGAAACAAAAGATCCATGTGTGATTAATCGGTATCCACCGTTGATTAACCGAGAACTATATAATTGTTTGCGGAACTAAAGGAAATTACTTTCATGAAAGAACTGTATCATAGAGTATGTGTCGTTTTGAGCTACGTTGCCAGACCTAACCAGAAGTTGAAACGATACAATCGAGAAATCCACCTGTTCTGAACGAGAATAATTTTTGCCGAAATGCTATACATACGAAATTGTCTGTAAGCAAACAGCAATCGGAGATGCAGTTGCGCATAATGCGACCGACTGTATCTCTGGTTTTAGCTCATAATACGAGTATTGTATTTGTGGGGTCTTCGGAACAAAATTATGGGTCTTAAAGTTTATTCCAATGTCTGTTTTGCAAAACCAGGATATGGGAAAATTCTTCATTCCATGTACCATCCTTGAAGTGTAGCAGTGAATAATCTTGCCGATGTGTATTGTTACTTCATGCGATTTTTACCCAAGGAAAGGTGAAATTTTTCAATATAATACGAGTATATTTCTGTAGCAATTCCATCCTTGCACCCTACATTGAAAATTCACCGACCATTCAGACTATACGAAGGAAATTACTACTGCTAGGAAAAATTTCTAGTTGCCCTAAACGATGGTAATCATCAAACTACAAGACTTAAGCTGAGATAAAAGCACTACTTGACATAAGCGGGTAAGGTTACTGTAAATAGTGTCTCACCCTCCTCACTGAAGCTTAAGTCCATTAACACCAGGCGAATGCCGGAGCAGTATCCTAACAAAAGGGCGACAGACTGCGCGCAATCTTTCCTTCTCATTCTTTATTCTATCACACCCCTTACTTACACACATACACATGAACTACACAACCACCGAAGCCGGGAGCCCGCTCGGGAGGTTAGAGCTTATACCGGCTGAGGCGGTCCCCACTATTGGAAGGTACTTGGTTGGGGAACCCCGCTAGCTACGGTAGAGCGTCGCCATATTTCGCCATCCAACGGGGGAAGATAACCGTCACCTCCCGAACAAAAAAACATACACTACACTTACAAGACGTATGATCTTAGTTGACGCGTTCGGAATCACTAATTAATCAATCAATCATTAAGTCTATGAATAGAGTCTGAGGGTATTCCACCAAGTGCAGCAGTAGACTGGAAATGATTCGAACCCGGAGTTGTTAGGAGTAGAACCGGGAACGTGTGGATCCCAATACCCACTCTGCAGGCCTCAGTTCCAGGCAAACTGCTACAACTTATTTCTTGTAAATGCAAGGTCAGAAAAGTTGTGGATGAAGAAGTGCAGATATATTCTGACCAAAACATTTTCTTTCGAATGGACGTGTTCAAATGTGCGTTGGTACATTCGAGTTCGAAGATGGAGACCAAGACTATCCCCAATTTTCGAAGAGGCAAACATAAAATCCAAATTCAGCACCCAAAATCATAGAACCGTTGAGGAAAAAAACTTCTGGAATTTTTTCCTGTACCTGGACCCAGTGTCTGGACTAATAATATTTTGTTATTTCTTAACCTAACGTAGGAAGGTCTGGAATTCATCAGGTCAGATATGGATTAATAAACGTTCTTTCACGTTGTACTATTCTTCGTACT